GGACGGACAAACTCAGGAACTCACGGACGGTCGGGGACATGTATCCTAACATGTATGATCTATGTACTAAATTTGAATGAAAACTGACAAAGCATGTCCAAAATACGACATTTTCAAAAAACAAGATGGCTGTCAGTCGGCCATCTTTGATCCAATTGTGAAATAAATCATCATGGACATGTATCCTAACATGTATAATCTATGTACCAAGTTTGAGTGAAAACTGACAAAGCATGTCCAAAATACAACATTTTCAAAAAACAAGATGGCTGCCAGTCGGCCATTTTGAATCGAATCGCTAAACCACTGCATGTGCATATGTCCCACATAAAGTACTAGGCACATGCAAAGAATGAACGGAATCGGTCCAAGGGATTCTGAGATATGACTCTGGACGGACGCACGGACGCATTGGCACGGAGACCGAATTATAAGTCCCCGTTTTCGGACTTCGAACGGGGACTAATAAAATTATTACCATACTGTATACATCTTGCAAAGAAAATATACAAAATAAAATATCTGTAAAATGTGTTACAGATGGGTTTGAATTTGCTACAAATGTCTTTTTCAATTGGACAATGTGTGTCATGTTTTAGGCAACACAACACTTTTACTGCTTTTTTTGCATACACATGTGGTATTTCTTATGATAACCTCACAATATTTTATCATAGAAAAAGGATACTTTGTCCGAAACTCTTGGTTATATTGAATAATTACCGTGGACTTTGAATACCTACTATCATTTTCTATATATTTTTATGAGTTTTATGTTTTTTAAGTTTTAAGACAATTTTAATTGTAAACTATATAGGAAAAATAAAAGAATGCATGAAACCATCAAATTTTAGCTTTGTATCTCTACTGAAATAAACAGCTAACAGTACATCTGGAATATATGAAGTAGACACAACAGATACTTTTAACGATAGAAATGATAGACAAGATGCTTTGATGAACCTTTTAGTAATAATATGGTCACTAGTCAGCCAAATGTTGTATCTATACAAACACAAACATTGTCATTGCTCAAGTTTTGAAATAAATTATGTAAGTGTAGTCAGAAGTACAAAAACTAAACAGATGCATGGAAATTAAAAACACAGAAGTCTGGTAGGAAGAGCATTTTTTTTTCTTTCTGACTATAAATTATATATGATATTGTATTTTTTTATTTATCGGTGGTCAAAATTTACTGTGCACTATATTTTGGAGTGAAATGAAGCTTCATTTTCCAAAACCCATAACAAAGCCAAGTACCATAGTTACATGCTTAGCAACTGAAGGAGAATTGCCTAATCACAATTACAACATATATCTTATTTTTCTTCCCTTCTTACCTTAACAAATCTATCCACTAGTAATTAAATACGATCTCAAATGATCAATAATAGTTAGTTTATTTTTAGTTTGGTGTTAGATACTGCAGATGACAGCTGATAATATTGATTTTCAAAATGGTTCACCACCCACATTGTATGAATCTGGGGGTGTTGCACCTATACATTGGGGTATGCATGAACCAGCTTTGAATCAGGTTGTTGCACCTGTGTATCTGGGCATGAACCACAAATGGATCAGGTTGTTGCACCTGTGTATCTGGGCATGAACCACAAATGAATCAGGGTGCTGCACCTGTGTATCTGGGCATGAAACACCTTTGAATCTGGGCATGGATCAAGGAGGGGGAAGGCACCAGCATATTTGGGGCAGCAGCCACCTGTAGATCTGGGAGTGCTTCACCTGCATTTTTCACCTATGGGTTTGTTTCACCTGTAGATCTGGGTATGTTTCACCTGTAGATGTGGATATGTTCCACATAATCTGTGCTCGAAGCACATGTGAATATGGGTATGGTTCAGCTATAGATCTGGGTATTGTTCACTTGTAGATCTGAATTTTTTACACATGTTGATCTGTACTTGAAACACCTGTTAAAGTGGGTATGGTTCACCTGTATTTCTAGCATTGTTTTAATATGTGAATCTACATTATACCTCTATACCTGACTTGATACTGATCAGAAAACATGGTTGCTGTGAGAATGAAATCACTTCTTTCCTGAATACAGGTGTAGGTGATAATTAATCATGTAATATGAGAAATGATAACGACATACATGCTACAGCAATAATCATTAACATCTCCTCCAATATGTACAAGATTTATTGTCAGTTATGTCTGTTTGACAGTCTAGTGATTTACAGATTATGGTTAGTAAATGTGAAAATTGTCTAATGCTAAGATAAATCTACTTTGAGAAAAAAACACAGTAGACACACCTGTGGAAGGGGTTTGCTGATACCAGATTGTCATTCCGAATTTGGAAAATTATAGATAAACTGATTACAGAGTGGGTTGTCTTTTTTTTAAATATATTTTAGTCAATTGGTATTGCCAGGATATGAACCAATTCCCAAAGATTGTCAGGTATTGTACATACTGGCATTTAAAAACACAGTTACAAATTATTCTTCATATAAAACATGTTGTATAATTTAGATCATTGTTGTCTCTCCTGACTTTATGAGAAAATTGCAATAGGTGACATATAGCATATTTTGCCACAAAAACCATATTCCACATTTGGGACTATGTGACAAGGGTAGGGAGGATGACTATTAATCACATATCTGTTACAATAACCAATATGCTACTTGTGATAAATAAAATATAAATAACTAGCCATGCATGGCAAAGTCCCCGTTAGTTATCAAATTTAAGATACATGTATATAGTTTTGTTTATAGTAATATAGTTGTAAAATAGACATTTCAGAAGTATGGATCCAGAAGATGATGCTTGATTATGATGATTTTTTAACATTAAAATGATTGACATCTTGTATTTGATCATCAAACGAGTACTTGTGCATATTGAGAAATATTGCTCTGGAACAGCAATAATTAAAACAAAATGGCCACTAGTCGGCCATTTTGAATATATCTATATATCTATAACATGATGTAAAATGAATATATAAAACTGAACATAATCAGTCAAAGCATATCAGAGATGACTCTAGAAGCACATTCATTTAAACAAAATGGCCGCCAGTCAGCCATTTTGAATCCGATCTAAAAAAAAAATGACATGCATCAGGAACCCATAATCTCCACTGTATGTAACAAGATTGAACAAAATCCAACTAGATCCAGTTCCGGAATGAAAGAAATACTAGATTTTTGATGATTTTGTAGCACAAAAATGGCTGCCATTTGGCCATTTTGAATCAGATAGTCAAACCAATATATCTATGTCATGATGTATAATGAATATATAAAATTTGATCATAATCAGTCAAAGCATGGCAGAGATATAGCACTATAACTGCATTCATTAAAACAAAATGGCCACTAGTCAGCCATTTTAAAATTGGATCTTAAAAATTAAATGATGTCAGGGATCTGCCCACGCTGGTCGGCGCCGGTCGCTAGCGACCGGCACTCTGAATTTCCGACCAGGACAAAAAGTTGGCGACCAGCACTATTCTATTTGTTTATGAT